AGAGACAGAAAGTTGAAAGATGATTGCCAAAGGTTGTGGTGGTTATTTCTAATGCATACAGGTCCTAATCTGGAAAGAGGAAAAACATTTCTGGAGATGGATGGTGGTGATTTCAAAAAGTTCATGGAGAAACAGAATTAAAAGTATGAGTTAGGTACCAGCAGATGGCACAATGATTATGTCACTAGAACTCCTACATGGCTGACCGCAGTTCAAGTCCAGACTCAGCAGGCTGAAACTCATACCAGGTGTGTGTGTGTGCGTGTGTGTGTGCATGTGCCCAAAATCCTGATAGGAGAGTGGAGAAGAAGGGACTGTGGTGTGTCCATCCCCCAGGGGGTGATTTCTCGCCTTCGGTCTCTCTGTCTCTGTCTCTTTGGTGAGTGCACACACCCTAGAGCAAAAAAATCTCTTGGGGAAAAAAAGAAAAGTATGAGTTTACTTTGATGCAAAAAGAAAATAGAAATTCATGAATAGATTTTTATGTGAACCTTTGAAGACCCCTGCTTACATATAAATAAAGGGACAATTTAAAACTAACTAACTAAATAAATAAATAAGGAGTCAGTAAGTGGCAAAGTGGTCAATGTTTTGGACTTCCACATGCCAGACCATACCCGTACCTGGCGGCTTGAAAATTATTCCAGATGTAATGTACATGCATGCACAAAATCCCAGGAGAATGGAGAAGAGACTGCAGCATGGTCATCCCCGGGGGGCATCATTTCTCACTTTCCCTCTCACTTTCCTTGTCCTCTCTAGCAAGCACACATGCCCCTACTGCAAAACCCTCCAAAAATAAAAACTAACAAACTACAGTTTGTCAACATGCTACAGTTTGGGTGAGCTTTAGTTTGCTGACCGCTTCGCTAATATAAACAGTATAAGTCAAACTACCTCGTTTTGCTTCAAATGCTTTAGAATGGCAGGAATAAAGCCACACCTCCTATTTCATCAAATTAGAATTAACAAAAGAGTTTGGCAGGGATATTGGTTATAAACCAAAATACAAACACCAATAAATAGCATTCAACAACAATAATTAATTTAAAAATGTAACAGAGAAAATACCCTATTGCAACTGCATTAAAAAAAAATCTATAAGGTATCTAGGAACAAATGAATAAAAACATAAACAAAAAGTTATTAAACTCATTCTTGAAAAGATGACAATTTTCCCCAGATTAATTTATTAATCAAAATCCCAACAGTGTTTACTATGAAAAATTTATTCTAAAATTCATATAGAAGGGCAAAGTGCCAAAACAGCTCAAGTAATTTTGAGGAAGGAAAACGAAATGTGAATTGACACACAGATACACAAACAAACCAACAGAGCAAGACAGGGAGCCTTAAAACCAAACTCGTACATGGCAGAGGTGGCATTATCGTTTAGACGAGCTATCTGATAAATGGTGCCGAAGGCACACAGCTTATCCATACCAAGACTATTTAAATAACAACCAAAAAGTAAATACCTAGCAGTGCAAGGACAAATCACAGACAAGAAATCAGGGCCAGCAGGTGGCATGGTGGTTAAGGGCACTGGACTCCCACATGGCATACCACGGTTCGACTCCTGGACCTGGTGGCTTGCTCTCTTACTTTCTCTTTCTCTCTATTTTTCTCTCATCCTGTCCCTCTCCAGTCAAATTAAAACAAACAAATAAATAAAGTTAAATAAACATAAATAATTCTTAAGAAAAAAAAAAGAAAAGAAACCCCAAATGGCCAAAAAAACATCAAAACATTCAAATCTACTAGTAATAAGGGAAGTATAAATTACTGTAGAATTGAGATACCATTTATAAGGTTGGCAAAAACTTAAAAGCCTGAGGATACCAAGATGGGGAGAAAAGTAAAACTCCACATCTGCATGAATATAAACCAAAACAACCACTTGGGTGAAGATGTTCACGTCCTACAATGCAACAGCAACTCTGCTTTTTGCCTATACAACTCCATACAACTCATGGGAACTTGTGTTCATATACAAGGAAGACAGATACCACAGAATGCTCATTGCAAAATGATTTACAGTAGGAAAATAATTGGGACCTGTATGTGCATCCAAGGAGAAATTAATGTAGTACATTTATGCGACAGCATATTCTACTGTAGTTAAAATAAACATTAGCAATACACATATCAATATGTACATTCTCAAAAATACATAACTGAACCAAGAAAAGCAATAGAATAATCCCACTTATCTGCATTTTTAAAACTTGCAAAACAGCAGTTTAAATATATAAATATTTAGCAACACTATAAAAATACTCAGGAAAGAGGCCAGCAGGTGATGTGGTGGTTAAGGGTGTTGGACTCCCACATGGCTGAGCACTGCTTGAGTCCCAGACCTGGCAGACTGACTTCTCACTTTCTCACTCTTTCTCTCTTCCTCTCCCCCTCTGGTCAAATTAAAATAAATAAATAAAGTTAAATAAAATAATTTAAAAGATACTCAGGAGAACAATAAATACCATATTTATGAGAATGGCTACTCTTCGAAGAGAGAAAGAAGGGGAGTATGGAAAGAAACAGAAGAGGCATTCACTCTGATAATACTAGACAGACACACAGATATAGCTGCAATGCATATGACATAAATTAAGATCTTAAGTGGGTGTTTGTTACTTCCTGTAATAATTCTAAGGTTTTTTTTTTTTTTTAAGAATGATCTTATTTAGCTTTGTTTGTTTGTTAATTTAAATTTGTCCAGAGAGGGAGAGAGAAAGAGAAAGTGAGAAAGCAAGCTGTCAGGTCCAGGACCCGAACCATAGTCAGCCATGTGGGAGTCCAGCACGTCCACCTGCCGGCCCTGTAATTCTAAGTTTTTAAAATCTTTTATAACATAAACTTTCTTAAAAAGACACACTTTGGGCCAGCTAGTGACGTGATTAAGGTGGCTGGATCCCACATGGCCAACTGTACTGTTTGAGTCCGGGACCAAGCAGCTTAAAAAAAAATACACCAGGCATGTGTGCATGCATGCCCAAAATCCTGAGAGGAGAATAGAGGAGAAGGGATTTTGGTACGGCCATTCTCCTTGGGAGATGACTTCTCACTTTCTCTCTCTTTCTTGCTCATGTCTCTGGTGAGCACGTGTACCCCATAGCAAAAATCAGAATAAAACAGAAAAAAAAAAACACGCTTTAGAAAAATGAACCAAAGCTGCAGTATTAACTTAAATATATCTCAAAAAGAAAAATATTGAGTTTAAAAAAGCAAGTTGAAAAATCACACATTAAGGGTATCACACATATTCAAAACAGAAAACTGTTATATACATATCGCCAATCATATAAATTGTCATAGGAATGATATACTTCAAGTTCAGGATGATGGTTACCTCTGAATAGAGAATAAAAGAAACAGCATTGAGGGGCCAGAAGGGGGTATAGTGGTTAAGGCACTGGACTCCCACAGGGCCAACTACAGTTCAGGTCCCAGACCTGGGAGCTTGAAAACCAGACCAGGTATGTGTGCATGTGTGTCCAAAATCCTGAGGAGAATGGAGAAGGGACTGTGGCATGGCCCTTCCTCTTGGAGGGTGATTTCTCACTTCACCTCTCAGTCTCTCTCCAGCAAGTGCATGTGCCCTATGAAGAAAAAAGAAAGGAAAAAAAGAAACATGATTACGAAAGCTCAGCAAGCTTTAGCTAAAATTGTAATATAATTGATCGACTGACTGACTGATGTGTGCATGCATGCTATGGGTGCATGCACTCACCAGAGACAGAGAGAAGGAAAGTGAGAAACTGCCCCCCAGGAGGGACGGCCATGCCGCGATCCCTTCTGCTTCATTAGCCTGTTGAGATTTGGTGCATGTACACACACACACCTGGTGCGATTTTCAAGCCACTCTGTCCAGTGGAGTCTGCTATGTGAGATCCAGCACTTCAATTTCTATGCTACTTGCTGGCCAGTATAGGATTTATTTTAAAAGTCTGATGTGAATGTTGCATTTGCTGAAGTCTAGTGATGGATGGTTTAAAATAAAAATACAGGGTCAGCAGGTGGCATGGAGGCTAAGGCACTGGATCCTACATGACCAACTTTGTGGTTCAAGTCCCAGACCTGAATTCTGGAAAATCACACTGGATATGTGTATTTGAGTGCCCCAAACCCTGAGAGGTGACTAAAGGAGACAGGAGACTGGACTGCATTGTGGCCATTGCTCCTAGGGGGTGATTTCTCACTTTCCCTCTCTCTTTTTCCAACAAGCACAAACATCCTATAGCAAAAAACTAAAGAAAAATAAAGAAAACAAGATTTTAAAGGAAGAGGGAGTGTTCTTGTATTCTAGAGAAGGATTTAAAGTGGGAGAGAAAAATATTTAGTATCAACTATTTTATTTTACTTAACTACATTCCTTTTCTAGGACTAAACTCCAGCAGGTCATCTAATAAGCACAAGCAAAACATGTAACATTTCTAAGCTTCTAGTTAGAGATGTTTAAAAACACTAAATTTAGAGGGAACCTCAGTAATCTCTAAAGTTCTTCTAGATTTAAAATTCTCTGATTCTATGATTATCAGAGGCTCTAAACTGTTTAAAATCAAAGGTAGATCACAAAACACTCATTATGCGAAGAAAAAACAAAACCATCAAGAGTTTATATATTGCGTGCTAATTTTGCAAAACTGTTAAAACTATTAATTCCTAATTCAATCATCAGTAAAGACTAAAAGACAGTACCTTTTTATCAGTTGGTCGTGTTCCTCCCCCATAAGCCTAGTACTAATCAACAAACAACTGTTTTGTGGTAACTGAAATAAACTTTTAAATCATCTTTTAAACTGAAGATGTCTACACAAATGTGTATTTCATACATAGTTACCACGATATATTTGCTAGTTATCTTCTCTTTTAAATTTTAATATACAAGTTGAAGGTTCATGAAAAGATAATATATATCTGAGATGAGATCTTTATAACAACATGCCTTTTTTTTTCACTATCACACATTCCAAAATGTATAACAAGGTTGCCCTTACCTGATACGGACATGGGATGTGATATTCTCTGCAGCGTTCTTGTATCCACGTTGTTTCCCAGATGCCACGGTATGCTTGCTCATAAAAATAGCATCCAATTACAACCAAGAGTGGTACGAGGTAAAGAATGCTGAAAACACCAATCCGGATCATAAACTTCACTAATTTATCTTGGTTCTCCTTCTCTAATGGAATCTCAATTCGAACTCTATTTAGGGATATAATGCCAGCTAAGAGGAGAGAAACCCCAACTACCACATACAGGCAGAGGGGAGCAAGAACAAAGTATCTCAATGCATCAACGTCGTAGAGGCCAACAAAACACACGCCACTAATATTGTCACCTTCAATTTTATTCATCGCTAAAAGGATGATAGTTAGAGTTCCGGGGATGCCCCATGCACTGGCGTGAAACAGCAATGCTTTCTTCTCAATAGCTTCACTGCCCCACTTTGGCACAGCTGCTAAGAACCATGTGATGGTGAGAATTACCCACCATACGCTGCCAGCCATCGTAAAAAAATAGAGTACCATAAAAAGCATGGTACAGGCTTTATTATGAGATCCTTGGGTCACTGTGGAAGCCTTATACTGTGCAGGACTAGATGCGTTGCAGGCTACTCGGTCCTCAAGTAAAAACCCAATGAAGAAAATTAATGATACCATCATGTAGCAGACAGCATAAAATATAATAGGCCTTTCGGGATAACGAAATCTTGTGACATCAATCAAAAAAGTCAAAAAAGTAAACAAGGTGGCAGAGAGGCAAATGATTGAAATCAATCCTATGAAATAGCGAGCGAATGACAGTTCTTCTCTCCTAAAGTACATATTTGGACAAGGTGGTGAACAGTCACGCACGTGTAAAAAAGAATAACCAAGATCAGGATCAATTTTCAACTCTCGAGGACACCAAAAACCATAGTCCCTCTGCACTGCCACTGGGGCACCTTCAGTTGGATCTCCAGCTAAATTCAGATCCACAAGTCGGGGGTACGGCTCATCACAATCTGGGAACCTAGGAAAACACAAGGTGAGAACCATTTTTACTTACAGGGAAATCTATAACCTAACAATTTGGATTTTCCAATTTAGTACCCATGGCCTTATTTATACCTATGTCCTTGGAGGGCAGCTGCAATAAGTAGCAATAAAGTAGATGAGTCTTGTTTGTGGGCCATATAACTGAATTTTCCATCATTTACAAGAAAAGATACAGTTTTATAAGTAATTTGTTTTATCACCAAAAGACAGTAATGTTTATTAAAACAGTCAAAGCATAACCATCAGTTATTGATAGTAACAGTACTTACAGAATATTCATTTAGAACATGCAGTTTAAATACTTCAGAATATAAAAAAGTATACACAGTGGGTACTAGAACTACAGCAGCCCCCCTTATGCCCGAGGTATACATTCCAAGACCCTCAGTAGAAGCCTGAAACCAGGAAGAGTACAGAACCCTACATATACTTTGTGGTTTTTCCTCTACGTACCTACCTATGATAAAGTTCAATTTATAAACCGAGCACAGTAGGAGATTAACAAAAATAATCAATAACAAAGAGAAAAATAATGACAATATACTGAGCTAAAAGTTCTATGAATGTGGTGTCTCTCCCTCAAAATTTATTATATTCACAGATAACCAAAATTGTGGAAAATGAAACCATGTTTTGAGGGGGTGGAAGAGTTCCAACAGATAGCAAATAAAAGTTACTTTTTGTTCATTTGGTTTTTTTAGAGAGATTTTTGCTATTGGGTATATGTGCTCATTGGTGAGCCAGAGAAAGAGAAACCTAGAAATCACCACCCCCAGGGGGGATGGCCACACCACAATCCCTTCTCTTCCATTTTCTTCTTGGGATTTTGGGTACACAGGCACACATGCCTGGAGTGAGTTTTAGGCCACCAGGTCTGGGATTCGAACCATGGTCGGCCATGTGGGAACCTTATGTGTTGCTAATTAATATTTTCAACATAACCATTATGCCATCTGCTGGTCCCACTTTCTGGTAACTTTTACAGCACAGTCATGAATTTAACCTAGACTCAAATATAAATTATTTAATCTAAGTGTTAAAAATTGTCCCTAAGTGTCTGGAATGCTGTTCAGTGACTTGAATTAGCATTTAAAATTCTTTAAGTGGTTGGGCCAGCAGATAGCATGGTGGTTAAAGCACTGGATTCCACATGGTCAACTCCACAGTTTGAGTCCTAGACCCAGCCAATTGAAAAACCAGGTACCTTCATGTTCAAATCCCAACAAGGCAATGGAAAAGAAGGGAATACAGTGTGCCCATCCCCTGTGAGGGGTGATTTCTCACTTTCTGTCTCTCTGTTTCTCTCTGGCCAGCACATGCGCCCTAGGTTTAAAAAAGAAAAAAATTTTTACAAGTGGCTTACTTTTAGGATACTCCCTGTCTATCCTACTGATTCATTAAAGAGTTTCTAAAGTCTCTAATGCAAGCTAGGTCTTTCCCCCCCTCCCTGATTTTTCTCCAATCCTATGCATTCTCTAATTCAAATACTTTCAAACTTTTAGGTACATAAGAAAAACTTAAAATGTAAATATTTGGCTCCCTACCACCACAAACCATATTTCACTGTGCTTTAGGTTAGGGCCCAGAAGCCTGTATTTAACAAGTTTCCAAAGGGGCATAATCTATGTACTTGAGAAAGTGTAATAGCTTCAACACAAATTAAAAAGCAAAGTGGTGTTACAAACATACATAACTAAGGACGCTATTTTCATGAATTCCCCTCATCTTTAATTTTCTTGCCAAAATCAGTTTCTTAAGCCTTCAGACTCCAACTAGCTAGCTGTTTACTGTTTTGTACTCATTCAAATAGTTTCCAAGGCTATCACTTATATTAAGTTTGCCAAACACATGCAGAACCTTATGCTGTTCCTAATTAATATTTTCAAATCTTTTTATTTTCTAACACAAATCATTTTCTTTACAGGGCCTGGAGTATAAAGCCAAATAACAGAAATGCACTGCATTCAAATACTTAGAATAGTATGTATTTAAAGCCCTGTAGAATCTCAGGGGTTTAAGATAAAAAAGAAAAACAGAATTTCTATCCTTGTGCTCAAAAGGAGACACAGACTTATAAACACAATACAAAATACAGCAGTTTGATACATGAAGCAATCAAAATCTATATAAGGTATAAAACAACTAAGATAAGGCTTAATTATATCAAAGAAAGGGGTTTTGAAGGACTTCACAGACCAAGTCCCTCAGTACAGGCTTTTGAATCAGTATTTGCCAGTATTAGCTATATGTCAATGGTATTCTAGCGAGCAAAGGCAAGCTGAATAGGGCATATTGAGTAATTCTGGAACATGAAGTATCCGCAGGAAATGAGGCTGGAGACATAAGCATATTGCAGAAGTGTGTGTGTGTGTGTGTGTGTGTGTGTGTGTGTGTGTGTGTGTAAATGTTGATATAAATTTTAAAACCATGCAAAGTAGGGGCCAGTCAGTAGAGTGGAGCTTAAGGCAACTGGGTCCCACATGGTTGACTGTGTGTTTGAGTCCTTGGACCCAGTGTCTTGAAAACATGCCAGGAGCTCATGTGTGTGCCCAAAATCACAAGAGGAGAAAGGAAGGGAAGGGACTGTAGCACATCCCCCCCAGGGGAGTTTTTCTCACCCTCTCTTTGTCTCTCTGGTTAAGTGTACACACCCTGTAGCAAATTAAAACAAACAAAGACAAAGTAATATATTTTCTATGGATATATTCATATATACAGATGACAATTCAACATATATACTTGGGTAGCTAATAAGTACCTTAATATTTACCTCTTATGAAATCAAACTCTTGACTTCCACTACTCAGATGTCCCTACTGCTCAAGCCAAACTCTTTGGGGGGATCATCCCTGACATCCTTCTAGCTCATAGTCCCCTCACATTCTACCAGCATTTCCTGTCATTCTACTTCATGATATATCAGAATCTGACCTCTTCTCATTTCCTCCACTGCTGCTGCCTAATTTGGGCGATCAGTTACCTCTTCCCTGGACTTCTGGAAGGGCCTCCAGCCGAACTCCACGTCCACATAGCAGCCAGAGTGATTCTTTAAGGCATGACACTCCTGCATTCATAATCATGCCTCTTCTGCTCGAAACCCTCTAATGCCATCCCATCTTATTCAGCGTCTAAATGTGCTACCAGAGCTACAAACACAGGCCCCAGCCCCCATACTTTTCTGATCTTATTTCCTGCCACTCTTCTTTACTATCTTGGCTCCAGCCTCTTTGGTCTCCTGTTAATTCTTGGAGTTCAGCAAGCATGCTTCTACTTCAGTCTGCACTTGCTGCTCTGTTTCCTCTGACAGGATTGCTTTTCTCAGATATCTGTATCACTTGTTCTTTCACTTTATTTAGGTTCCTGGTCCAAAGCCTCCTTATCAAAAGGCCTTATCCAATGACTCTATAGAAAAGAGTCTCTCTGCTCCCTTGAATTGGATCACAATTACCTAATCCTATTCTCTCTTATTGGCATTCACTACCATCTGACTTTATCAATTCATCTGATATCGCCCACTACTACTGCCACTGCTGGAATTTTAGCTCCGTAAGAACAGGGACTTGGTTTTGTTCACTGCTCATCATCAGCATCAAAAGTAATGTCTAGCACACAAAAGATATTCAATTAATTGTTGAACTAATGAATCCTGTATGAATATATGCATTTAAGCCTAACCCAAGAATCAGGAGGATAACTAGGCACAGTGTGGAAGACTGATCTGAGCTGGGAAAGCAGAAATATCAGGTGGGCCAAAACAAAATCCAGATAAGACAGATATCAAATTAGGTAGATAAATGCTACAGAATTTATAACTGATTAGAGGTAAGGGTTTGAAGCCAATGAAGGAAGAACAGATGATGACTTTGTGTTGGTTAAAGGTGGTGGATTCTCACATGGCCGACCACAGTTTGAGTCCCAGACCTGGAGGCTTGCTTTCTCTTTCTCTCTCTGTCTCTGGTCAAATTAAAAAATATTAATACCAAATGGAATTAAATATATAATTTTTTTTAATGTGCAAAGGAATAAAATCAACTTTAGACATTTTGAAATTGAGGTATTTAAGATAAATCAGGCTAGAGTTTCCAAAGTCTGCTGGATATGCAGGTTTAGAACTTAGCAGGGAGATACCAAGGTTGGAGATTTAAAGTTAGGAGTTATTAGTATATAAATAAAAGTTAAAATCAGTACGACAAGGGGGTCAATGATGCAACAGCAACACAAGGATCTGTGAGGCTGACCTATGTGGGAATGTTCTGGGTTCATGTCCAGAGACCTCCCTAAACACTCTGAGTGCACACTTGTCTATGATCTGAGGCTGGTTGAAGCTGGGGGTGGATCGAGGTATGAAGACCCTCTTGAGAGTGCCTCTCTCATTCTCTCTCTCTCTCTCCATTTCACTCATGTAAGAAAGAAATGAAGTTTTTAGCTTTTAGCTGGAATCGCCATCTTCCAGTAATTAACCAAAATGACAAACACAAAGGGAAAAAAAAATCTTCCAGTAATTAACCAAAATGACGAACACAAAGGAAAAGAGGAGAGGCACCCGATATATGTTCTCTAGGTCTTTTAGAAAACATGGAGTTGTTCCTTTAGCGACATATATGCGAATCTACAAGAAAGGTGATATTGTAGACATTAAGGGAATGGGTACTGTTCAAAAAGGAATGCCCCACAAATGTCGCCATGGCAAAACTGTTAGAGTCTACAATGTTACCCAGCATGCTGTTGGCATTGCTGTGAACAAACAAGTTGAGGGCAAGATTCTTGCCAAGAGAATCAATGTGCGTATTGAGCATATTAAACATTCTAAGAGCAGAGATAGCTTCCTAAAACGTGTGAAGGAAAATGACCAGAAAAAGAAAGAAGCCAAAGAGAAAGGTACCTGGGTTCAACTAAAGCACCAGCCTGCTCCACTCAGAGAAGCACACTTTGTGAGAACCAATGGAAAGGAGCCTGAGCTACTAGAACCTATTCCCTATGAATTCATGGCATGATGGGTATTAAAAATAAACTAATCTGTGGTCTATTAAAAAAAAAGGAAAAGAAATGAAGTTTTTAAAAAAAGTCAGTGAGATGGGCTTACCCAGAGAAAGCAACAGAACTAGAGAGCAGGAATCGAAGTCTAGAAGTACCGGCACTTAAGGGGCAGAGAGAAGGATCCAAGAAGGAAATGAGAAGGATTTGTCTGAGATACAGCAGATCACATGACAGTCTAAATAATTTTCAGGAAAGGAGGATGGGCTGAGATTGAGGGGAACAAAGGTGAAGAATGGCTATGAAGTAGATAATATAGGTTTGCAACAGGGAATGAAGGGAATGAAAAGAAAACTTTTGAACAAGAAAAGTAGTTACAAACAGGAAACAGAATTGCTACGGTTGGAGAATCTTAAGTATACAGCATAACTAATTTGTAAGAAATTGCTTTAATGGCTTTACACAGAAATCTGAACAAGTGGATTAAAGAATGAGTTGAAATGCTAACAAAGTGTCATATCAAGGGGCAAAACACAAAGTTTAAATAAGGAAATAAATGAGATCAGGAAGGAGGCTACTTGGGATAAGAAAGATTAAAAGTCTTGGGATGGCCATGAAGTTGAAGAACAGGTACTATGGTCATGAGGGCAGAGCCCTCATAAATGGATTAATGCTTCTTTTATAAAAGGTTTCAGAGATAGTTTCTCTTGCTCTTTTGGGCTTCTGCCACGTGAGAACACACCATTCCTGCCCTCTGGAGGATGCAGCAACAAGGAACCATTTTGGAAACAGACAGCAGTCCTAACCATACACACAACCTGCCAGCATCTTCATCTTGAACTTCTCAGCCTCCAGAACAGTAATACTAGAATCAATTTTTATTGTTTATAAATTTCCCAAGCTTTCTCCCTTTCTTTCTCTATGTGTGCCTGTCTTTCTCTGGTCAAACAAAAATGACCAAATGAATAAATAAAATTAAAGAAGTGATTCTTTAAAAAAATAAGGCAATGGACATAGTAGGAATGAGGGTATGAGAGATGTGACAATGAAAGTTGTTATGAAAGATCAGTTTGTCCCAGATGTTAATATTTCAGAGTAAGGTAATCTCAGGCTGTAGTGAGGAATAAGATAGGTTTAATCCTGTCAAAACAAATAAAGAAATAAGGATTATGGAGATATATACTTGCACATAGTTATTAAAAATTTTAAAGCTTCTTTAAAAATGGTAATTAAACATAAGAAGTACAAAATAAGGTTCCTGCCCAGGCAATCTACAACTGTTGTTATAAAGATAAAGAAATTTTTAGACTTCTTTGCTTTTTAAAAAAAGAATTATTTCTTTCTTTATTTTTATTTATTATTGTTGATTTTTAATTTGACCAGAGAGAGAAAGAGAGAGAAAGCAAGCCACCAGGTCCAGGATTAAAACTGCGATCAGCCATGTGGGAGTCCAACACCTTCACCACGCTACCTGCCAGCCCCCAGAAGTCTAAAAGAAGAACTTCTATAAACATTCCCAGATGTCAGTGAATTGACTAGAACTAATACATATTTCTCCATCTAACAAAAGACAACAATAATAGAACTACTGCTAGAGAACTACTGTCAAATAACAAACAAAATTACCTTTCTTTCTCTCTCTTTTTAAAATTTTTGATACAGGGTGCATGTGCTCACCGGAGACAGAAAGAAGGGAA